AGCAATAGTCCGGACTAGTACAAGCAGCCACGCACACACAAACAAAGCAAGCACATTGTTATGTGAGTGCAATAATAATGCACGTGACGTTAAACACAATTTCACCTTACCTCACCTCCATCCATCCATCAATTATCCCCTCCATCCATCATCCCTCCATTAACCCATCCATCAATCCAACCAACAATGTTTCCCACTCACCCAGTAACCAATCCACCCACCCATCTCACTCACTCACTCACCCACCTAGCCTAGCAACGTCTAAATAGAGGTTCAATAAGATTTAAGCATCTATTTCATTTTCAAATAACTTTGAAGCTATATTATCACCAACATCTGCATATGCATATTATTATCTGTATGTTTCAACTTAGAAACAGTGTTATACAAATGGTATAAGGATGTAATAATGGACAGTGATGTAAGATATAGACACTTAAAGACCATATTTGCAATGTCAGCGCTACTTCTCAGAGGATATTGATGGGAGGGCGTGGCAGGTAGCTGACATGGGAGAGGCTCGTGTATGGGAAAACTTGATGTAATTGGAGAATTAGACTTGCATAAGTCTCTAAGGCAATAATTATTAGTTTGAATCATAATTTCTGGATTATGAAATAAGAACAAGTTGTCCCTATAAGAGACTGGCATCCTTAGATGTACTGTACACATATCTAGGCTTGCCTATACTACACACCCATGGACTTTTCTTTGAGAGAGTAACTGTATTGACCTGTACTCTGTTGCATAGATAACTTCACTTCTTTCAATATAGGGCTCCATCTGGCAGTGTAAGAGAACATGTCCTTTCATTGCTGACTGTCTTGTGATAACCACTGCTTCCGTGGTAGTGGTAGAGCTTCCGCCCAGAGAGCTGAAGGTCTGGGGTTCGATATCATACTAAAAGACGTTAAAAGATGATACTTGTTGTTACCCCGGCTGGTGCTCTGCATTGCAGGCGTACAACAAGGACTACTCGGCTCGGAGTCAGTGTACTGTGTCTGAGTTGGGTGTTCATGTTAAACTGTGGCATGGTATACCAGTGGGAACGTTAAACCCCATTTCACCTCCCCTCACCTAGAGGTTAAAGTATCAGCTATGGTGGACAGTTTTAACTATTAACAAGTTCCTGTTGGATGGTCTCAAGATTAAATCTCTGCCCATCACCGTTAGAAAATCTGTTGATGTTTTGTCTGTAGGAGCTGATTAGCCAACAGCAAGGCAGCATCCCTATGCATGTGCATATTAATTATAATGTGCATATTTACAATGCACCAATTCCACACCCTAAAGCCTGCTCAAAGCACAACATTATTCCGCCGGTCAATGGATTAGGGTACTCAATTTTCATTCTCAGCTCCCTGGGGAGTATACAAACAAATCTGCCAGTGAGGCGCTAGAAGGTTGGTTAACAGTTACATTACCATCGTATCCTTCCAGGTACCCATTCTCTGCTAGATGAACAGTGGCATATTTTGAACAAAGTCACTTAAGGAAACACCATGCGGGCAATACGGCTCTTATATCCTATTAAATAATACAAGGCCTTTTGTAAATAATCTCTCTTTAATATCTATTTGCCTGCATCCTAAACTTCATGGCCTGACCCAGTAACTCCTGTGTGCAGAAGCAGCACGGTGCACAGTCGTCAGGAACCAGGGCGTGACAAAACAATGATTCTCATTCACGCTACAGAGGAATAAGAGCATGATGTACACCCCAGGGTGCCAATTCAAAACGTGTTATAGCCATGAACTGATTATTCTCACATGGAAAATGTACTAATTTATTCATATTGCTTTCTTGCATTTTTTGTGTACTTTGTCAAGTAGCAGGGTCAGTAGGAGCTGTAGAAATCTGTGAACAGAAAGGCACCTTTTCAAACATGTGGTTATCATTTTGTACGTGTTTCTTGTATACCACTCAAAAGATGTTAAAGAATACCCAATTTTAAAAGAATGGCTATGACAGTTTAACTATAGTCATATGAACAGTTTAGTTGCTCTTTAAGTTCTTTTGAGTATATATCGCCTCCGTGGTCTAGTGGATAGAGCATTCTACTGGTGAGCAGTAGGTTGGGGTACCTCAGTCGAGCCTTACTAAAAGACCTTCAAAGATGGTACTTGTTGTTACCCTGCTTGGTGCTCAGCATTAAGTGGCTAAAACAAGGGTTGGTCGGCTCGGAGTCAATATGCTGTGATCGAGTGGGGTATTCATGTTAAACTGCGTCATGGTATCTCAGTGGGCTAGCACTACGAATGCATCTAATCCATGCATGCTTTGATTTATTGACATTAATAAATAATGTAATATATTATCATAGTCAGGGCCCTATATTAAAAGCCAGAGATTAAATATTAAAAGGGGGGAGTGTGGGGTGTGTGCAAATATTCAAATACTGCAGCAGGAACCTCAAGGACCCCCACCCCTAATACACACACACACTCAGACATACACATGCACGCACTCAGACACAGACACACACACACACAGACACACACAGACACAGACACAGACACACACATGCACGTCGCTATATAAGTGCTATATAAGTTAAACCCCATTTCACCTCCCCTCACCTAGAGGTTGAAGTATCAGCTATAGTGGACAGGTTAAACCCCATTTCACCTCCCTTCACCTTGAGGTTGAAGTATCAGCTATGGTGGACAGGTTAAACCCCGATTCACCTCCCTTCACCTTGAGGTTGAAGTATCAGCTATGGTGGACAGGTTAAACCCTATTTCACCTCCCTTCACCTTGAGGTTGAAGTGTCAGCTATGGTGGACAGGTTAAACCTTATTTCACCTCCCTTCACCTTGAGGTTGAAGTATCAGCTATGGTGGACAGGTTAAACCCCGATTCACCTCCCTTCACCTAGAGGTTGAAGTATCAGCTATAGTGGACAGGTTAAACCCTGATTCACCTCCCTTCACCTAGAGGTTGAAGTATCAGCTATGGTGGACAGGTTAAACCCCGATTCACCTCCCTTCACCTTGAGGTTGAAGTATCAGCTATGGTGGACAGGTTAAACCCTATTTCACCTCCCTTCACCTTGAGGTTGAAGTATCAGCTATGGTGGACAGGTTAAACCCTATTTCACCTCCTTTCACCTTGAGGTTGAAGTATCAGCTATGGTGGACAGGTTAAACCCTATTTCACCTCCCCTCACCTTGAGGTTGAAGTATCAGCTATAGTGGACAGGTTAAACCCTATTTCGCCTCCCCTCACCTAGAGGTTGAAGTATCAGCTATAGTGGACAGGTTAAACCCTATTTCACCTCCCTTCACCTAGAGGTTGAAGTATCAGCTATGGTGGACAGGTTAAACCCTATTTCACTTCCCTTCACCTTGAGGTTGAAGTATCAGCTATGGTGGAGGGGTTAAACCCTATTTCACCTCCCCTCACCTTGAGGTTGAAGTATCAGCTATGGTGGACAGGTTAAACCCTATTTCACCTCCCTTCACCTTGAGGTTGAAGTATCAGCTATAGTGGACAGGTTAAACCCCGATTCACCTCCCTTCACCTTGAGGTTGAAGTATCAGCTATGGTGGACAGATTAAACCCTATTTCACCTCCCTTCACCTTGAGGTTGAAGTGTCAGCTGTGGTGGACAGGTTAAACCTTATTTCACCTCCCTTCACCTTGAGGTTGAAGTATCAGCTATGGTGGACAGGTTAAACCCCGATTCACCTCCCTTCACCTAGAGGTTGAAGTATCAGCTATGGTGGACAGGTTAAACCCTGATTCACCTCCCTTCACCTAGAGGTTGAAGTATCAGCTATGGTGGACAGGTTAAACCCCGATTCACCTCCCTTCACCTTGAGGTTGAAGTATCAGCTATGGTGGACAGGTTAAACCCTATTTCACCTCCCTTCACCTTGAGGTTGAAGTATCAGCTATAGTGGACAGGTTAAACCCTATTTCACCTCCCCTCACCTTGAGGTTGAAGTATCAGCTATGGTGGACAGGTTAAACCCTATTTCACCTCACTTCACCTTGAGGTTGAAGTATCAGCTATAGTGGACAGGTTAAACCCTGTTTCACCTCCCCTCACCTTGAGGTTGAAGTATCAACTATGTTGGACAGGTTAAGCTATTAACAAGTTCCTGTTGGATGGGTACAGGATTAAACCTCTGCCCATCACCGTTAGAAAATCAAGATAAGATGATACAACGTAACACGGCTTGCTATCATTTGTAATGCCCTTTTCTTTTCCTTGGTGAGAGATAATTCTGCTTCAATCAAACTGCACTATCACACTGTAGACGTTTATTCAAACTACACAAAATTGGGAGAAATTTGATATGCGTTAAGCCACTGCATAAAGGGTTGACGGATGTAGAAAACAAACTTTATGACATTATGCTAATGACACCTGTCCCATGTTCCGTGTGTGTGATCTGACACCGTTCTCTCACAGCACGTCGTGACAGACACAGATCACACGGATCAGTGATCTGTGACTCCCTTTCTAAAGGCCGATTATGTAGAGAGAGCCACTCACCTGTGGGATTTATGAAGGTCAAGGCTGGTTTATTCCGATCGTAAAAAAACGGGGTACTTGTGAATTCTTTTGAGAATTGAAACAGTGGGGTCCTTGTCCTCCAGGTACCCCTAGCTTCAGTTCGTGAGGGATGGGGAGATAGGATGAGGTCTCACATCATGTTAGCAACATTCATGAACACAGAATATTACATTATATACTTGTTAACGTATAGTGAGTGAGTGACTGTTGGTTGATGCCATGGTCCCCTCTATCTCATGATAGCATGAGAGACATTATGAATTGTTCAGATACGAACACACACAATCCTCCAGGCTAAACATGTTGCAATCTGATAACATTCTCCCAATTTTATTGCAAAATAGTTTATTATGATGGTGTTACGATAAATATCGTATCTAGATTTCACTTGATTTCCTAGCTAGCTCCTGTGGCTTATGTATGTAAAACTTTATCAAGGCTTTCCGTTATTACAAATGTGTGTTTCCTGTTGCAGGTTGCAGGAATTGTGGGAAGGGCAGAACTGCTGGCGGCCATCTTCTTCCTCCTGGCTCTCATCTGTTATGTCAAGTGAGTAGCTGGTTGAAAAGTATTCAGGTGCTAAATCTTCTTTCGATTAATCACATTAAACACACAGAAAAATCTACCACAAACCCTGTCAGAAAAGGTCGCCTTTTACCTATGGTTGTCACACAAAGTGACTTTATGTTGGTGGTTTGTCTTGGTGGTTTATGTGTCATCGCACCCTGACAGCATGGAACATTGCTCTTAGTATCAATCACTGGTTTGTTTAGTCCAGACCTTTATAGGAATTTTAGCTTCATTGGACAATAAACAATAAATATGATATTGATCTGTGCTCTATGTGAGTTAGAAAATGCATTTGAGAGTACGTTAGGCGGGTATATGTGTTTTGTTTAAGAAAACATACTTTACTTTGCCTTTCTGTATTATCAGTGGCAGTTTCTTGATGTATCAATAATGTCATAATAATAATGTAAAAATATTGTAACTCTGGGCAGTAAGCATTTTTTATTTGTTTGTTTGTTGTTTAACGTCTCACTCAGCAATATTCCAGCAATATGACAGCGGTCTGTAAATAATCGAGTCTGGACCAGACAGTCCAGTGATTGATATCCTAAGCATCGATCCATGTAATTGGGATACGATGATATGCATCAACCAAGTCAGCGAGTCTGACCACCTGATCCCATTAGTCGCCTCTAAAGACAAGCATATTCGCCTTTTACGGAATGCATGGGTTGCTGAAGACCTATTCTACCCCGGATCTTCACGGGGCCAGTAAACATTTAAGATATAGGGCTGTATAAGAAGATACGGAACAAACAGAAATATCCTGTCCTGATGAAGAAACTGTCATCATCCTAATAGGAGAATGATTCTGTTGGTTTGTGAATGAAACACATGCCTCCAGGTGGCAGTTCTACCTGATGAAGTGGGGGAGGGAAGTCAAGGTAAACAAGGAGCCATTGTACTTCAACAATAGATGGTAATAAGAAGATCAAACACGGGCAGGTGAGGAGGTGACATACCTGTATAGGTCCTCCTCACACCTTCTGGGTCGAGTTTCAACATTAACTGTCCCCAACCCCAGGTCGCGTCAGAAGTTAATGAAATATCGCACCCCTATGTCAAGCAAACAGGATGTCTGCCAGTTGAAGGCTACCAGGAAAATATCTTGCAAATTTTTTTCCAATTTTGTAAGAGAAATGTGATCGAGGTGCTAAGAGGGTATCTCTGTAGGGGTTGTTTGCATAGGCCCCAGAGACGGGGCCAAGAATAGGTCCAACATGTCCAAGTGTTTGGTTGTCACACAATCATTGTCTGAACCTGCCAGTTATCTATTTGGTTCAAGTGCTGACCCCTCTCAATACATCCTGGAGCTCCCTTCAGAGCACATTTCAGAGCATCACCCAAATACATATCAGAGCCTCCTTCAAATACATACCAGAGCCTCCTTCAAATACATATCAGAGCCTCCTTCAAATACTCATCAGAGCCTCCTTCAAATACATACCAGAGCCTCCTTCAAATATATGTCAGAGCCTCCTTCAAATACTCATCAGAGCCTCCTTCAAATACATACCAGAGCCTCCTTCAACTACATACCAGAGCCTCCTTCAAATACTCATCAGAGCCTCCTTCAAATACATACCAGAGCCTCCTTCAAATATATGTCAGAGCCTCCTTCAAATACTCATCAGAGCCTCCTTCAAATACATACCAGAGCCTCCTTCAACTACATACCAGAGCCTCCTTCAAATACTCATCAGAGCCTCCTTCAAATACGTACCAGAGCCTCCTCCAAATACATACCAGAGCCTCCTTCAACTACATACCAGAGCCTCCTTCAAATACTCATCAGAGCCTCCTTCAAATACATACCAGAGCCTCCTTCAAATACATACCAGAGCCTCCTTCAAATACTCATCAGAGCCTCCTTCAAATACATATTAGAGCCTCCTTCAAATACATACCAGAGCCTCCTTCAAATACATACCAGAGCCTCCTTCAAATACATACCAAAGTCTCCTTCAAATACATGTCAGAGCCTCCTTCAAATACATGTCAGAGCCTCCTTCAAATACATGTCAGAGCCTCCTTCAAATACATACCAGAGCCTCCTCCAAATCAGGGGCGGAAATTTGCCATTTCCCGACTCCCGGGGCAAGTAGAAATACGAGGTCGGGCAACAAAATCACTTACTTTAACTTGTCTGGAGGCAAGTAATATTGGAAATTACTATCACTGTCTACATGTCTAACTACTGGTAAAATGGTACAATAAATTAGCTGAGAGAAATTTCGTAATCGCGCTTTCGCGAAACACTGACACTATTAAAGAACACACGAGACTTAGAGTTACATCCCTTTTCTTTTGTCGTTTTAACATTCAATCGGAACAGTGAGAAACAACTTTCTACACTCGGTTTGAATGCTTTTCTCTCATTGCGGCCTAGAGGGATCTGATAATTGATACACGACCAATACTGCCTAGAGGGGTCTCGTAAATGAAACACGTCGTGGCCTGTGACTGTGTCCAATGTAAACAGTTACGACCTGGTTATGGCGACACACAAGCAGGCGTCGAATAAAAGTTTTTTCGGTGGGGAAAGTGAAAATAAATCTGAAAATGCAGAGGATAGGGAATCATGTAAAAGAAAACGACCAAATGAGGACACATGTTCTAAGAACAAGAAGTATGATGCCGAAAAACGGGACAGAAAATTAATTCAGAGTTGGTGCGATGAGTTTCCATGGGTAGTGTATGACGAAAAACAAAATGTCATGAAGTGCAGAATTTGTTGTCAGTATCCAACTGTAACATCCAGAAATAAGAAACATGTATTTGTTGACGGTTGTACACAATTTCGAAAACATTATTTGACAAGTCATGAGGTTTCCGATGTTCATTTAGAATGTGAAGCCTATTATCGATCACAGCTGTATGGAGATTCACAGGTTGCCGATAGATCGCAAAGGACAAGTGTCATTCTTAAAGCATTTACACAGTTGGATGAACAGACTCTAAAAAGACTTGATATTTTGTTTATTGCCACTTTTCAAGACGCATTTAGGGGTAAGCCCTTACTGGATTATGAAGCCAATCTTGACCTTCTCGAAAGTGCAGGCACTGACATCGGAACAAAGTACAGGAATCGTAAGGCCTGTGGAGAGTTTTTGAAATGCATTTCTGACTCTCTACGCAAGACATTTATCCAAGAACTTCAACAATCTAATTTCATTTCTATAATGAGTGATGGCAGCACAGACACAGATGTATTGGAACAAGAAACTGTCTTCATTAGATATCTATCCCAAGGAGCACCAGTATCATTTCAGCATACCCGAGTCCTTATGTAGATATAACAGTGCTGGTGTAGTGTAATTTTGTTCAACGGTAAATAAACACATATTGATGATTTGAAGTTTTATTTTGAAATTATTTGGGCAAGTGAAAATGAAATCAGGGCAAGTGAAAATTGTCTTTCAACTTGTCCGATGGCAAGTGAAGTTTTTTTTTAAATATCCACCCCTGCAAATACATGTCAGAGCCTCCTTCAAATACATACCAGAGCCTCCTCCAAATACATATCAGAGCCTCCTTCAAATACTCATCAGAGCCTCCTTCAAATACTCACCAGAGCCTCCTTCAAATACATATCAGAGCCTCCTTCAAATACATATCAGAGCCACATGTTTAAGTGAGAAATATATTTGCAAGTTTTACATCAGACTTGATTTTTCTGTTTGTACAATATTATAAAACACAAGAAATATATTGATTTTTTAAACCTAAAACAACCAAATCATTATATTTCCATTTTATTCCTTTAAAACATTCTGACAGGTACGTCATGATGAGGACCTCCCACGAGTATGAAAATGTTAAAATCCACGCAAACAATGGTAGATGATTGATAATACTGCTCTAAGCTACGACAATAATGCACCTGTGTCTTACATCAAGGAGAAGCCACCAGACTCACCCGGCTGTGACATGAACTTCCCTTTGAGCAGCATTAACACACATATATAACCTTCATCATAAGCATTATCCTGTGTCTATCTCGCCATCGGCTCATGTCTTGTACAATCATAAGACATCTCGATGTCCCAACTGCAAGATAGATTGAGGGAAATATTTGAGTTAGAAAAAACCCCGCTGATAGCATCTCTATATTCTTTGCCAAAATTCCAGTTTCTCTAATCTCATGATCTGATGGAGGATGTACTTATTTTGGAGAAAATTAGTACAATTAATCTGTGACTTTAGCGAGCAGTTTTTATATAAATGACCAATGAAACGAATTAAGATATGGCATTAGTGGTCTTTCTAAAATAAATGCGAGAACATATCCATCTTCAAATAGATCTTACCTTGAAGGAAAACATCACCTTTAGGAGAAATAAGAATTCTAAATTCATGATTGTTGTGTGAGAAATTTGTCCAGGAAACAATTAACACTAATGATTATGATATCAGGATTGATCTATATATGATTAAAGACAAATATATGGATTAAATTATCAATTGTGTTTTGTGTCATGAGTGTTATTCTGAAATCACCCCAAAGACCCGAGTTCGATTCCAGACATGGGTACAATATATGAAGCCCATTTCTGGTGACCCCTGCCGTGATATTGCTGGAATATTGCTAAAAGCGGCTAAAAGTGGCTAAAAGCGGCTAAAAGCGACGATTTGTTGTGTAACACAGATTTCACTATGAAGCTAGGTTCATTCCTTTCTCTCCACTCTCCAGTGTGATATTATCTCCTTGCATATGAGTCCACACTGTGTGTGTCAATGGAAATCACTAAATCCTCTGACAGACTACACTACGGCGTCCTTGTGCCTCTATATGACAAGACTTTCTATTGATGACAAAGTCAATATGATTTCCAGCCTGGTATACTGACCCATACAGACACACAGTAAACCCGTTGTTGAATAACCCGTCTATAGACAGGCGCACAATGGCCAGATTACTGACAGACCGGGGCGTTTATAGGTACACTCAGTGTTGATTAACATCATCACTGAAGTCA